TCTCCCAGGGAGGCGGCGTCCATGCCCGCCCTGGAACAGTATCGGGCACACTTGGTGTTGCGATGGGATGCAAAAAGGTCCAGGGTGGGCTGTCCCCATCATGTGCAGATGTCGCGAGACTGCCTAGTTCAATGCCCACTTGTGCATCCTGGTAGGGAGCCTGCTCAGGTGGTCCGCCAGAGAATTGTCCTTGGAAGTGATGTGGATTGCCTGTGGGAAAATGTCGTGGGAGCAACACCATTTCCAAAACTTGATGGTCAGCTTGAGGAGATGCGCTGATCACGTTCCACCTTGCCTGTTGATGTAGTGTATCACTGTGTTATTGTCCGTTACCAGTTGCACTGCATGGCCTTGGATGCAAGGGAGGAAGGATTAAAAAGCCTTCATGAGGGCTATCAGTTCTAGCTGATTGATGTGCAAGGTCCTTTGGGTCGGGGTCCAAAGACCGTGAGCACAGAGGTTCTGGCAGTGCATGCCCCAACCTGAGGGGCTGGCGTCAGTGACAACCTGTATGGACAGGTGAGGGGAGGGGAATGGTCTTCCCCGTGACAGGTTGCTGGATCTGGACCACCAGGTGAGATACCGCATGACCTGAGGGGGAATTCTCAACCTCTTGGACTGCGGGTCTGTCACGGGATTGAACTGAGCGATGAACCAAGACTGTAGGGGTCTGAGTTCGCGTCTGGCGTATGGTACCACCGCGGTAGTGGATGCCATCAGCCCTAGAACATGTTGGATGTAGTGTGCTGTAAGATTGGCACACAGTTTGAGCTTGCTCACGGCTGTTTTAATCTTTCAAATTCGTTGTTGTGGGAGAAAAGCCTTTGTGCGGACAGAGTCCACGGTTGCTCTTATGTAGGAGACTACTTGAGAAGGTATGAGATTGGACTTTTTTGCATTGATTTTTAGTCCTAATTTTTTAAGGGTGGACAGGGTGAATCTCGTGGCCGAAAGCGCTTCATGATAGGATCGGGCCACCAGAAGCCAGTCGTCGATGTAAGGAAAGATTTTTATCATTTGGGTTCGTAGGTACGCGATGACTGGTGCCATGCATTTTGTGAATGTCCTGGGGGCCGTTGAGAGCCTGAACGGTAAGGCAGTGAATTGGAAGGTATCATGATGGAACCGGAACCGGAGGAATTTTTGATGAGACAGGTGGATGGAGATGTGGAAGCAGACATCTAGTAAATCTATGGTGACGAACCAGTTTCCCTGAGACAAAAGAGGGAGAATGGAGTCAAGAGTCAGCATACGGAATTTCTTGTAGAGGATGTATTGGTTGAGGTCTCTGAGGTCCATGATGGGCCTTATGCCGCCATCTTTCTTGGGGACTGCAAAGTAGCGCGAGAAGAAACCCTCGCTCGAGTCAGAGGATTGTACCTTGGGTAATGGCCTTTTTGGAAAGGAGTGCTGAGATTTCTAAATGCAGGGGCATGGAAAAGGGAGTTGTTTTGACTGAGTTTGGTGGTGGGGTTTCTGAAAATTCAATCAAATAGCTCTTTTCAATGATATTAAGGACCCACTTGTCAGTAGTGATGGTTTGCCATTCTTGGAGGAATGGGAACAGTCTTGTAGTGCATAAAGAATTAGGAGAGATGCTTACCCCTGTCCTGAGTCTTGCAAAAAGACTGCTTGGGGCTGCGAAAGCATTGCTGCTTGAACAGCAGAGCGGTGGACTGTTGAGTCTGATAAGTCCGGTCCTGCTGTTGTTTGCTGTACCGAAAGGGTTGGTACTGAGTGGAAGATTGGTATTGAGGCTTCTT